TGCCACGAAATACAACTAAGGGTATATAAGTTCTAATATTGAGAAACTATAAGGTATTTAAGTATCATTTAGCCTAAAATACCTCATAGTTTCACTCAATCAGCACTTTTATACCCTCACTTATTTCTCGTAGCACTTATATATCTAAATTGTTTAAAATTGTCACTTTGGTATTCTATATCATGCAAACGTAAAAAATTTCTCCCAAAGTCGCCATATGACACTCACATGCTAATACTTTTATAACTTTCTGACCATTAATACTTGTTAAATTTATCATTAAACCTATCCTAATTCTACTTTAAAGTAGAATCACAACAAGTTAAAAATAAAAATTTGGTACATTTAATCATAAATTAAAAAAATTTAAAATTTAAAAGTTTTAAAATTAGCTTGAAAGCATCATAGATGAACATTTGGATGAAAAATTTCACGTTTACACAATAGAAGGTGCTAACATGTTAATTTAAACAACTTAGAGTATATAAAGACTATTAAAAACAAGTGAAGATATAAAAGTACTAAGTGAGTGACACTATGACGTATTTAAGTGCTTTAGCTGGAAAGAAAAAAAGATTCTTAAGTTGAACACAAGAGCTACGTAAAAACGTATGAGTAGGTCGTTTTTTACCAATGACCGGATCGTTCTAAGTCATTCACGGGGAGAGCATGACAACATTTTGAAGTTTTTAACTGCTACCTTCATGGTTTAGAATCCAAGATTGCGTGCAGCATGGGCTGATATGATACATAATAAAAAAAAGCTAGCCTTGTGCTTTTGTTATTCCGAGGTTTAAATTGTTTAATTGACTTGTTATATAAACCTTTCTTTATAAATAAAAGGGTTATTCTTTACTTTATCTAAGAAGGCGGATAAGTGAACCCTCTTTTTGAGAGGTTAGCTATTTTAATCCGTCTAGAATAATTAGCTTAGATTTTTTTTTTTCTAAATTTTATGTTCGACAATTATATGCGAGGTAAATCAATTTACACCTTAAGTAAAAAAAATTCATTAAGACCAATTAACTTGTCTACAAGGGGATCACTGATCACTTAAGCAGGTGGTCACCATTCCTCGCCCTTGCTCATCAATTGCTTCACTGACCATATATAGATCCTATACGTCTCGAAATCTTTATAATCAAATAGTCATCCAAGTGGTTCACCTAATTATTAAACTACTTATATATAGAACAGCATAAAAGTCCTACTTGCTAATCGAATCACAAATCACGTACAATCTTCGATATACTGTAACCGATAGTGTGTCGTGTTATAACTTATGGTTGATCACAAGATGAAGATTCTAAGTAGTTTGTTTTTTTGTTTAATTTCTATCATGTTCATGGACATGTTCTTGAAAAATCGAATGGCCTCTATGTTACTCTAGCTCAATTAGGTCTTATACTTCATGGATCTAAAATAAACTTTACATGCCTTACCGTCGCCGGACAACTTTGATGCCTTTATTGTCACCGTTTATCACTTTAAATACATTTTTATTATCAGACAAAAAAATATACGAACTTGATAATTATGTCTCGCTAAATATACTGATCTAGTAATTTAGGCTATTCTTACTCTAACATGACTCAACAAGTTTAGTGTCTTCAATGGTCCGAAATCTAGACTATTTTATACTGATTTGGATCCTCTTCACTACAAAGAAAGTAGTGGCGAGCGGCGAGCCCATTGTAATATCACAATCGTTAATTTGTTTACTAGGGGGTTGTGATTTGCCCTTGAATGTAAACTAGGAGAATATTGCAATTAATAATGATATGGTGATTGTTAGGTATGGAATAAATCACACCAACCCAATAAACAAACCAACGATTTGTGGGATTGCAGTGGTCTTTCCACTACTTTTATTACAGTGGACGTGATCCAAGTCCATTTTATACAATGAACATAAGCTTATTAATATCTATTTTAAGTTTGCGTCACATAAAATTTAAATATATTAATTTGATACATTCCAAAGTCCCTTTAAAAGATGAAAATCCCGAAATTGTGATCATATAATACGAGTATATTATAATTTTACAATCTATAGATGCCGCGCACTAAGAGGCTATCAGACTATAATAAGCTACCAAGAGAGAGAAAACGTTGCACATTTGAAGGTAACGCAGTCAAGTTTCATAAAAATGCATCTAAAACTCCTCCCCAAATTAACTTTCATAAAATTCACAAACCACACCAAATTTCAGCACATTTTCCTCTCTAATTTCATCTCATCTCATCCTCCCCAAAAACCCCGACGGATTCGCGAACTGAGCAGAAAACGACCGCGACAAATTCTCAGGCTCCATCCTCGCCGACCCCCGATCAAAATTCCGCATGTAACTGCAAGGATCATACAAATTATTAACACTCGGCTCAAAAATCTTCTTCTTTGATCTCCTCGGTAGTAACATCCTCTTCAGTATCCCACTCCACCGTCTCCTCTTCGGCTCCCCCATTTGATAGTACGGCGTACTTGCACCGTATTCGTACCCGTTTTCGAAAAGCCTACGCCCGTAGCCCGTGCTCGTGCTCCGGCTCATCTGCGGCCAGTTGCCTGTTGACCGTTGCGGGCTGGAGTTAGCATCAATGAACCCCATTATTTGGTTTGCTCATGGACTACCGAGAGATGATATATAGAGATTGTTCAAGGAAAGAGTCAAAGTTTTGGGTTCTTGGATTTCTCTATGTAGTTGATCGGATTTGGTTTGATATAAATGCGAAGCTACAACATATGAAAGCCAACTAATGTTCGCGATAGAAACATGCTTAATTAATATAATTTGACTAATGAAAAACCTTCGAGTGTAAAGAAAGATCATTAGTTAAGATGTTGTAAATGAGTGGTGCTATGATTAGGGGATGGTTGAGTTTGCACGGCAGTGTAAATTAATAAGTGTCACTGTAAGTGGTTGGGGTTCAGTTGACTTGTCCCCATTGAGACGTATATGACTATAGCTTAGCTACATAGAAGTGAAGAAAATTAGTTCCCACAATCTTTTGAAAAAAAAAAAAATTGGTTGGAGATGAGAAGAATGTGTTTTATGGTTAATGGTGTGGAGTGGAATGCTCGTGCATTGTCCCCAACCCACGCGCAGCCAGCGCTAGTCTATTACGTTTATTAGAGGTCAAAATAGTTCAGCCAGTGAAGGAGTCATCTATCCAAATGCAACAAAGGGTCTATCCACACAAATTGAATTGCATTGGGTCTATTCGCTATTGGGCACCAGTACAATGGGCCTATTAGCAATTAATTAACCCTACGTTTTAATGAAGTGCTCATTATGGACAGTTGGGAGTTTAGACGAGTGATGCCCATGACTCCATGAGGAATGAGCACTAGTTTTATTTTTCGGTTTTTTCTATAGAGTCCTCATGGGCACTCCATAAGAGAGGAGAGAGAGAAAGAGAAATGAATGAAGAGCCCCCCCTAATTTGCATTGTGATCTCTTCCTCATTCATTTCTTTCTATCTCTCTTCTTTCTTATAGAGTGCCCATCGGCACTCTATAGAAAACCCGTTTATTTTTATCTATTTATTTATTTATTATTTATTACTTATTTATTTCTGAAGTGGCTTTTCTTTCCACCATAGTATTGAGAAGTTCGATGCACACAAGTTTCCCGTGCTAAACTGCTAATTGATGACTATGTATACCGTTTTGAGCACTTAACGTCTGACTTAAAACTAGATATCGTTATTTGTTGAGTTTTGCTTGAACAATCGATTTAGGCTTGAACTTGAAACGGATCGAAGTAGCTAGATGTGTAACAAAGTTATTTGTGCTGCAGAAATTGTAGTCTTTTCTTTCAGTCGAATGAGTATGAACCAGTGGAAGGTTAAATATTTTTACATCATTAATGAGAAGAACATTATTCACTTGGAATTAACCACCTTCAGTTAAAAAGTGCAGAACATCTGGCAATATTTAGAAAGGAAATCTAAATTATTGTATTGTAGAGTACTTAATTGGTGACTAGTTGAATCAGGGGATGAGACGTGTAACGGTAAGCGCTGTGATCATAAGAACTTATGCTATCTCTTGATCAATCATCTTAGCTGCACATTGAAGGGATATGATAATGAAATTAAATTTGAAGGAACAGATTGAAGTTTTAAAGACTAACATGCTATAAACCAAAAAAATGCATGTTAGTTAATGTGTATGCAGGGTTTAATGAATATGGCTTTTCTGCACAATTGTAACTTTTTTGCATGTTAGGGGGTGTTTCTTTCAACTTTTTTTTTGGGATATAGGGTGGGTTACAAATTCTAGGATGAAAAAGTGGGGTTGTTTTTGAGTTTATGGATTCCATAACCTTTGTTTGATTCAGAATAAATTTTGGGATATTGAATATCCAAATAATAAAAAACTAATATATTATAGCATTTGTGAAATCCCCTCTTTGTGAGAGTATTTAGGCTAGATTTCAAATTCTAAAATTTATAATGCTACAATTTGAGTTTGAAACAAAAAAAATACAAATTATAGAATTACATATCCTAAAATATTGATGAAACAAACAACATTTTAGAAATCCACTAGTAGAAAATCGCATATTCTAGACGGAATATTCTAGACGGAAATTTTTCCGTCTAGAATGTATTAAACTAGACGGAAAATTTCCGTCTAGAATATTCCGTCTAGGATAAATTATTCTAGACGGAAATATCCGTCTAGAATAGTATCCTAGACGGTTATTTTATTTTTATTATTTTTTTAAAAATTTCTACGTATTCTAGACGGAAATTTCCGTCTAGGATATATCCTGGACGGAACGGAATATCCTAGACGGAAATTTCCGTCTAGGATTTACGGTCATTTTAAATTTTCATTCCGACCTTCAGATCCCGCGGCTCAAAAATTTCCCCCCTTATTTATCAAAAACTCTCTCAAAAATTTACAAACCCTAAAATTCTAACCATTAATTTCTGCAGCAATGGTCATTTAGCCATTAATTTCTCTAAAGGAGGTTATGGGAGTTAAGGTATTTGCCCTCATTTTGGTTAATTTTTGTTATTTTCAATTTAGTACATTTATTAAAGCGATAGCAACAGTTTAATTGAGTTATTCCATTGGATTTTATCTCTTATCTGGCAGTTTTTGGTTGCCAAGAATTGTAAGATTAGTTATCACTGACCTATTTCACTAATCTGTAAATATGCAGGAATGAAGTATTGATTTTGTTGATGATGGTTCTTGAATGGATTTGCTTATAAGTTTCGCTAAACTAAACTATTTTGTAGTTCACCACAGTTCACTTGTAATAGCTGTGCTCCTAGTTGTATAGGGAGGTCGTAATTAGTGGTACTGAGGAATGAGAACTTCCCCTTTTTAGATTTACCCACTATTATTCTGTTAAAAGAGAATTAAATATGGATTTCTTGTACATGCTTCAAGTTTTTGTACAGATAAAAATTTCAGAATCTTTATATGTATCAGCAGACTATTTTGAGGGGAAGGAGCTGGGAGGAGAATTCAGGGGAGGGGAAGGAGAAGGGGAAGAGTAAGGTTGATCAGCATGCTATTTTGAGGACCCAGGTAACACTAAATATTTTGCAATGTGAATGAGTTTAGTTTTGATGATGAATGTGTTGAGATTGGAAAGATAAGATTTTTATGCAAATGTGATATGTGACGTTGAGTAAACTTCACTTCTTGATCAGTAATTAAACCTTGATAGAAATGTTTCATTGAATTTTAGAGCTATTATTAGCTTATCTAAACACTGCATTGTACATGTGCATTGGCTAGTGTGTTCTGTGCTAAAATTTACTTCTGATATCTCTAGGAAATATTGATATACACAACTTCTATGGACCTTTCCTTCAGCTCTAGCTTATTTCAATGGTAAAAAAGAACCACTCCTGTGTTGCACTTTCTTTTATCACACAGCATAGGAACAACCAAATAGCACCTCCTATGTGTGTGTGTATGTGTATCCCCACTTAAGTATAGCCAACATTGTTATCATACTTTCATTAATTAGAAATTCATTGGAGTGTGAGTTTTTTTATTGCCACAGGTAGAAATAAGATGCAAGAAACCTGGAAGACCCTAAAAACATAGCATCACTTTTATTTCCACCATAAGTCAAAAAATCTAATGAAAACATTATATATAAATCATGGTAGGATTACAGTAATTGATGGACTGGTTATGGATGGAAGAAACAGTATCTGTAAAGGATGACAAAATGACTCGAAGCTATATAACACATAAGATGAGTTTATGAGCATGTAGCTTATAGGTGACATAGTGAATAAACATTGGATGAAGATTGTAACAGGGATGAAGATTGGGAAGATAATGATGGTGCTCTCAATGCGATAATGATGTTATTCTTCATAAGTGAATAAACATTTGATTTTTTGAGTCACTCATTAACTCCATCTTTGCAAAATTTATCCTGAAATTTTCATGAAAACTTATCTGATATATGCGATAGTGTTCATCACTAAGCTTGATAATACTCGTTCATTTTTCAGGTACTATACGATTATTGAAGCCGATCACATCTTTTTTATTGTAAATCAAGAGAGAGCAGGAGTACAGTTTAGCAATTTGAATTAGAAGCCCTCAATGTGCTGAGTGTAATACTAATTATGACTTGAAGCATTGAAAGTTCTCTGCGGCTCCGATTGTAAATAAACATATAAATAGAAAATTAGTTATTATCTATGTAAACAACTTATGTATCGCGTTCCTTTTTGTTAATAGAGATTATTAGACCTGTTTGCCGATGCACTGACATCCATTGTAAATAATTTATGTAAAAGTTTGTAAACAATTTATGTATCTTTCTACTATTTTGTTGAATGTATTTTTTGAATATAATGGGATTTGATATTGGAATATAATTAGATTGTGTTGGATATGAATATAATTTATTGTTCAATATTGTGTACATGCACTCAAAGTAGATTTTGCAAAAAAAAAAAAAAAACCTACTGTAGCATAGTATCCTAGACGGAAATTCCGTCTAGGATGCTCAAATTCCGTCTAGGATGCCTTTTTTAAAAAAAAATTAAAAAACCTCAATTTCCGTCTAGAATGAGTATTCTAGACGGAAATTTCCGTCTGGAATACTCATTCTAGACGAAAATTTTTTCCGTCTAGAATAATGTATTCTAGACGGAAATTCCGTCTAGAATAATCCGTCTAGGATGTATTCTAGACGGTTTTCAATTCCGTCTAGAATATTCCGTCTAGGATATATTCTAGACGGAATTTCCGTCTAGAATACTTTATTCTAGACGGAAACATCCTAGACGGGTATTCTAGACGGAATTCCGTCTAGAATACGCATCCTAGACGGAATTCTGTATATCCTAGACGGAATTTTCCGTCTGGGATGCCTAATTTTTCAGCAGTGATCACAACCCATGTTAAAAAACCTATGGATTTCAAATCTCATGGTGAAATCCATATCCTAAAATTATAGGATTTGAAACAAACACCCCCTTAATCTCTCTCAATTAAGTCTCAAGTAATCGTACATGATGTGCATATTCTTTTCTTTCAATATTTGAATTACAGTTGTTGCTATTTGCATATTGTAATATTCATTGACAGATTGATCCTCTTGCTACTACTAAACATGGATCGGAAAAATATATATGAAAACATAGTACTACTAATAATATTTTTCTGACTCTTAAAGATCCTAACCGTTTCAAAGCTATCTTGAGAATTGATGGTTATATTTATGTATTCTCAAGCTGACTATCTATCTAATGCTAAAATCTATGCATGTCACATTGAAAAGATGAAAACCCTTAATTTCCATGCATGTCATGCATTTGAGAGAACTTTAGTCTCCAAGTACCGTGTGTAAACCGAAAAAGCTGACATATTCTGAGAACTATTGAAGTCAGAATGACAAAGACAACTGAATCAAATACATGATATCGTTAGAGTTTTGATTATATTAAGTAGGACACGTGCGCAAATTCCACCAAGATTAAGCTTGGAATTAGTCCAAAAAGAAAACGTTGCGAGCAATTTAATTAGTGTTCATTTATGAGTTCTCAAAAGTCTTAAGAGTTATATGGCATTTGATTAATAAATTTAGTGCTCGAAAGTCTCATGGAACAACTTATTGTGGATGAATGTTTTTCTCATGCTTTGAATTTCCCCTCAAATACAGTGTATACGGATGACTTTATGGATTGAAACATATATATGTAGCACACAGTTTTCTCCTAAAGGGGGGGAAATAAGGTTTTCAGAGGTTTTGCCAAATTAAATCTCAAAAAGATTATGATAAACTGAATTTATCTACTACTTCTTCTTCTTTAACTATCAAACTATCCGTAAAATTTTATGTATGAACATGAACTGATGACAAAACAAGTCATGCCACGTTTAGGCCTATGCTGGCCAGCCAGCTTGTATTATTGGTCAAACTTTGGCCGGTTCTTGTTGATTAATTAATGTTCTTAACAGTTAGATTATTTGGCTTAATTAAATTTAATATTTTCATTATAGTTGAATGAGGCACGTAGTTAGTTGTTATCTACTATGAATACAGCGCTTAGATTTCTTCATAAGTTTGAAATTGGACGAACGAGAAAGAAGAAGAATATATATATATAGGTGTATATTTTGATATCTAATAACCTGTATATGTTTACATTTGATGCTCATGAATCATGATTCATGGAATAATTAACATGTGTACCTAGATATTACTAAAGAAACTTCTTTGCTACCTCTTGCATGCCTGATTCAATTTAGTCTGGTCAAAAGCTCTGAAAATGCATGCAATAATAATAAAGTGATTCACGTGACATTCACTCTCAATAAAAGCAATACAAAATGGTATTTGTACCGTGTATATATGATTAGCTAGGTGAAGTATATGAAAGACAGCTGGGTTTCCCTTAGTACAAAATTATCGATTAGATCATATTTCGAAGGACATATATATATTAAAAGTAAATATATATAAAAAAGAAAATATGATAAGAGCTAACAGATTAATATTGTTGATTCGAAAATAAGAGCTGATTTTTCCTTTTTAGAGATCTACAAGGATGCGGAGGGGACTGATGTCAATATTCACCACGCAACACAGAATTCATGGGTGGAAAAAAAAACCGACGGTTAGGATTCAAACACTATACAGAATAAAGTGATACGTATCATACATGGGATTAAATTGTGACTTGTGATTATATCCAATCAACAGCGTAAACCTCTCTATTCATATAGACCGAGATGGTTCTGATAGGATCCCCACAGAAAGCCGAGCACTCAAAATTCTTATAGAGATATATGTTTGTTAAGTCCTCTTGGTTGAGTTTTCTATGGTTAGGTGCGTGATGAAGTTTGACACGTATACAAGTCAATGCTGGTTGACTTTTCCATAGTTAGGGATTGAAGTTTCACATGTGTAAGTTCTTTAAGAATTTGATAATGCTACTCCTCTCCAAGCGATTGTTGCGCTCAAGACTTGACCGTACAATTAATGGTAGTAGTATGAATTCGGGATATGAGCTAACATATGGTTTTATTACAGTAATGAGAATGCGGGACTTGACTCTTCTGTTGTGTTCAGTGAGCTTAGTAGCTTACTCAAAACTGTTGGCGTGATGAACATAATACTTTTAACTTCATGATGATAGTTTTTTTTGGTAAATGAAGTAATTTTATTCATATCCAACCTGTACAGTTTTGTAAGACATCAAGATACCAGTGTACCTGGTATTCCAAAAACAGAAAGATTGCATTTTCTCAAAGAGCTCCCTTATATGAACATATGAGCTGTCATTCAAAACTCTTGTGTATACTAAAAATTTGATGATATGAACAATCTGTTTGACCTCTCTCTTCCTGCCTTGAAAAATCCGGAGATTCCTCTCCTGCCAGATTATGTACACAGCCGTTGACAATGCCATTCGCTTCAGATTTTTCGTGGCACCCTTACCCCTTAGATTACAAGAATACCAATTTAGGAGCTGGTTCCAGTTGCAAGACTTCCATTTAAAACTTAACCATTCCATTATCATGTTCCAGACCTCAGCCGTTTTGGATATAAGAGTCCATCCCAAACTGTTTCATGCCAGTTCACCCGTGGAGAAGGCTGAATTAAAACTCTGTACATGGCAGAAAGAAGAACTTTGCCATTTGAACAGCACTCATTAATGGTAATCTTCACCCTTTCAACACTTCCAAACCTATTAACCAATATATCCCTTACTTTAATAAGTCTTTTCCACATCCATGAGTCATTCAATCTTGGTTGAACAGTCCAGATATCTTGATTTTGTAAGTAGTTTTCATGAATCCATTTTATCCATAATAAATCTTTTTTGAGGTGTAACATCCATAACAGTTTAGCAGCTGTGGCCAGATTCCATTCTTTTGCTGAAAAAATTCCTAAACCCCCTTGCTTCTTTCCTTGACAGATAGTGTTCCAGGAGATCAAGTGCATTTTGCTGTTCCAGAGAAACTGAGAACAAAGACTATCAATCTTCTCCAAGACTCTAATTGGCAAAATATAATTACTCATCCAAAATGTTTGAATGCCCAATATGACTGATTTGATCATTTCCAGCTTTCCAGCATATGATAACTTTCTGTTCTTCTGCCAAAATTGAAACTGATCTTGAATTTTGCCAATGAGGGAAGAACAGTCCACATATGAGAGTCCTTTTGCACTTAGAGGCAAGCCCAAGTATTTCATTGGAAGAACCCCCTCTTTGAATCCCAGAAAGTCACATATCTGATTTTTAATATTGTCATCAACACCACTGAAGTAGACAGAGCACTTGGCTAAATTTTCTTCCAATCCCGAAACCAAACTGAATTCTTTGAAGCAAGCAGTGATTTTCAGAACTGAAATCATATCAGCTCTACTAAACAGCAGTAAATCATCAGCAAACACCAAGTGTGTTATTTTCAGTTTTGAGCATTTAGGGTGGAATCTGAAACACTTGTCTGTATTTAAAGAGCTTAATTTCCTTGATAAGTACTCCATCCCAATTACAAAAAGGTAAGGAGATAGAGGATCCCCTTGTCTAAGCCCCCTTGCCCCTTGAAAGTAACCATGTAGCCCTCCATTCAGTGCTAGAGAGAATTTAGAAGAAGAGATACACTCCATAATCCATTCAGTCATTGTGTTAGGAAAACCCAAACCCATCAACATAGCTCTTATAAATTCCCAACTGATGGTGTCAAAAGCTTTTCTTAAATCCATATTCAGAATAGCTCTAGGGGAGTTGTTTTTCCTACTATATTGCTTTATGAGCTCATGTGCTAGCAGGAAATTACTGGATATCAGTCTCCCCTTAACAAAAGCACTTTGTGCTTCATTGATAAGATAACCAATTACTTTTTGCAGCCTGCTAGCAATGATTTTAGAAATAATCTTGTATATCACATTACAACAAGAGATGGGTCTATAGTCAGCTGCAGTATTAGGATTAGGAATTTTTGGTACCAAGGTGATGGAAGTAGTGTTGAAAGTACCCAAGAGTTTACCTGATGCAAAGAACTCTTCAATAGCCAGATACAGGTCCTCTTTGCTGCTGTTATATCATCTATATCAGTTAGTCTAAGGCCATCCTCAGAATACAGAGTTAGAACTTTGTTTTGGTGCCTCTTATTTTTCATAACTGAATGGAATAAATGGGAGCCTTTATCTGCATTCAGTGCCCATTTGATGTTAGCCTTATGTCTGTAAAAAGAATTTTCACAATCCAGCAAGTTGATATATTTCTTGGTGCATTCCTTTTCTTTTGCTATCAACTCAGAATTGAACAAATCAGAGTACAGCTTTACTTGGACTTCATTTAATTCAGCTTGAGCTCTAATCACTTGTTGACTGATATCCATAAAGTACTTTTTGTTCAAATCCTTAAGGACAGGCTTGAGGTTTTTGAGTTTAGTGTGAAACCTGTACATGTTATATCCTCTGATATCCTTATTCCAGACAGATTTCACCATATCAAGGAAGTTTGGATGTTTAGCCCACATGTTGAAAAATTTGAAAGGTTTTTTCCCCACAAATTTTGTATCATCAATTGTGATCAGACCTGGGGAATGATCAGAGCAAAGGGGCATCAGATACTCAGCTTGACTAGCAGTGTGTTTAAAGATCCATTCATCATTTATTAGAATCCTATCTAGCCTTGACCAGACTCTTGAAGCTGAATCCTGCTTATTGCTCCATGTATAGAAACAACCTGTAGTTTTGATGTTTCTAAGCTGACTAGAGTTAATGAAGTTCTGAAAATCATCAGCTCCAGCATCATTCATTTGATTTCCTCCTATCTTTTCATCACTGTTAATAATTGCATTGAAGTCACCACCCACCAACCAGGGGCAATTCACATTTCCTTTGAATGAAATTAGCTCCTCCCAGAGAGACTTCCTACCTTCAGCTTGATTAAAAGCATAGACTGCTGTGATAAGACATGCCAGATTCCCATCTTTGGATTTCACCTCACAAGTTATATATTGCTCAGTAGAATTTATTTCTTGAACAGATAGAATTTCACTATCCCATAGTATCCAAATCAGTTATATATTGCTCAGTAGAATTTATTTCTTGAACAGATAGAATTTCACTATCCCATAGTATCCAAATCCTCACCTTATTTGATGCATTAATATTAGATAACCACTTCCAGTCTTTAGCAATTTTATTCCCAATTGCCTGCAGTTTGTCAGATCCAGCCACTTTAGTTTCCAAGAGGGCTAACAGAGAAATCTTGTATTCCTGAATAAACTTCTTGACTATCCCATGTTTAGAGGTTTTGTTAAACCCTCTAATGTTCCATATAGCTAGTTGCATTTAATGAGATGATTCCCCCTAATAGAATTAGAGGGATCCAGATCAAGACTCTGATGATCAAGCACAGCAAACAGAGATGTTTGTATTGATGAATCAGCACTCATAACAGCCCTTTTAGCAGTTCTAGTAACACTTGTGAAGCCATCAAAATTAATGGAGGGAGAAGAGTGATAAGCTTTTTGCATTGAGGTGAGTTTTCCCTTCTGCAGTTGTTTACCAGGAAGTGAAGTTTGTGCATGTTTTCTCTGTAGAGGGAGGAAACCAGCCATTGTCTGATTTGCATCACCCACCAACTGCATCCCTACTTTATCAGGTAATAAACCTTCTGTCATAGGAGCTGAAATACTGATTCTTGCATCCTGTACTTGGTGTGCATGTTTTCCTGACACACTGCCAGCTTCCTGTTCCAGAGTTCCAGACATCCTACTAGTTTGGCCAAAATTTACGTTATCTTCAACATTCCTTTGCTGCAAATTTTTTTGTGCATCATGACTTGGCACTAACTTCTCCTGTACATCCTTATTGCTTTGTTTGCTAACAGGCACCCAAATCTTCTTGGAAGTGTGTCTTCTACAGTTAACAGTTTCATGTCCAACAACATTACACCATGAACACCATCTTGGCTTAAATTCATATATCACTTTTTGATTATAAATCTTGCCATCAGGCCCTTGAATTTCAATTATATCAGGCAGGGCTTCTTTTAGAGGCAGCTCAACTTCCAATAAAACCCTAGCATAGCTCAACCTTTGCCTTGTAGCCGTGAGCTTATCAGTAGTGATAGGATTTCCAATAATACTTGCAATCTTACTAATGCCAATAGGAGTCCACAAATTTAATCGCAGGCTTGGAAACTGAACCCACATTGGATATGAACAAGTTTGGAATTTATCCATATCAAAGTCAATGGACCAGGCTTGGAAACTGAACCCACATTGGATATGAACAAGTTTGGAATTTATCCATATCAAAGTCAATGGACCAGGGTTTAAGGATCATCGGTCTAGCTCCAAAAACAAGTTTGGAATTTATCCATATCAAAGTCAATGGACCAGGGTTTAAGGATCATCGGTCTAGCTCCAAAGAACCAAGGTCCAGCTTCTAAAATCTCAAGCATATGTTTTTCAGTTTGGAAATCAAATAGGAAAATTCCTTGTTTTAATAAAGAAATTGATGGGATAGAGATTTTCCCCCAATTCTTATTCACAAAAGATTCCATGGATTTGAATTTCACATTGAGGCCGATGACATAACCAACTAATGCATGCTTCCAATAACTCTCTCCTTCTTTCCATTCATCGTTAGTGAATGATACAGAGTTGGCTTGCTTAGATTTGACAAAATTCAAATTGAGGCCATTTCCAGCTTTCCTATTATCCGTAAAGAGACTAGCAAAGGTTTTCTTGGTTTCCGGAGCATTATTCTTCAAGATTCCTCCAATTTCTTGAGTTATATCCTCATTCCCTTCTATAACCACTTGATCTTGAGCAAGTTTTACAGTAGCAGCATTGATTTCAACAGATTTACTATCAAGATCATGTGCAAGATTTTCGATAGTAGTATTGATTTCATCAGACTTATCCTCAATCAATATATGAGCATTACTAATAAAATCCTCAGAAGTCGAATTCACAAATAAAGCAGAATCATCAGTATTCTCATCATCATCAGCCCAATGAGACAATTGAGAATATTTACTTAGGCTACGAGAAATCAAATTACCAGATCTCATTTGAGTTGCTTGAAGATCCAATTGAGGTTCAGATCTCGCCAAAACTTCATAAACTGGCAATTTCTTCTTGGCTCCTTTTGGAAGATCCAATTGAGGTTCAGATCTCGCCAAAACTTCATAAACTGGCAATTTCTTCTTGGCTCCTTTTGGGCCAGTGCTCTCCATCTCTATGGAGATCAAAGAATTCTTCGCAGCAACAGATTTCTCAGCAGTTGAAGACAAAGAATACTCGAACAGAGAATCTCTCAGCTCCCTTTCTATGATTCCACTATCTCCTTGCAGTTGAAGACAAAGAATACTCGAACAGAGAATCTCTCAGCTCCCTTTCTATGATTCCACTATCTCCTTTCTTCTTCTTCCTCATTTGATTTCTTCAGAGAATCTCTCAGCTCCCTTTCTATGATTCCACTATCTCCTTTCTTCTTCTTCCTCATTTGATTTCTTGGCGGAAGCGCAGGTTAGAAAAGAAATCGCCCTCTAACGTGCGCCAGCAGAACCGCCCCTTGGCTCATTGAGAAATGGTTTACTTCATGATGATAGTTGAGATCAAACTATTTAGTTGTTACCAGTACGGAAAAATATTGGAAAATTTATTCTATTAAAGATGATAAAAGAATAAGTCTTACTTTATACAAAAAAAATGCAAAACACACGAGAATACAGAGAGTGATCCTGAGCCTTACGAACTCGAGATATGTACATTTCATCTGCGCTAGTTAAATTATTTTAATTTGTTGACTGAAAAGATGCCGAACCATTCTAAATCTGACAACAGAAAGAAATTAATAAACTTATGTAGACGTTGACGGCATTACATCGCACAATTCAATCTTGATGAAACACTCCATCTCATTCATATATAATTAATTTAGAATTTTTATCTATTTATCTTGGGATTCGGATCCTCAACACTAAAAAATATATAATGGAGAAACTACTAAAATAATATAACAGCTGATTTATCTAGTGGATATATAGTTGTGATTAATTTATTTTTGAGTGTGAATTAGAAAAATAATGCAATTCATGTAGTTATATCGAGTGATAGATATTTAATGAATCACAACTATCTACTAAACAAATCAATTATTATAATATTGCAATGGTCCCTTCACTATACTTTTTGTAGTGGAAAGGATCACAATCATTTATCTTGCATGTTCATTAGATTTCGATCCTCTTCACTATTAAAACAAGAAAAAACACTACGGTCACACTCCCCACCACACCATGAGACACAACCCCCCTCATAGCTACAGTGCACGGGCCCACTTTAGATTTTTTTAAAAAATCTAAAGTGAGCCCGTGCACTGTAGCTGTGAGGGGGGTTGTGTCCCATGGTATGGTGGGCAGTGTGACCGTAGTGTCACTCTAAAACAAGAGTGAAGAGACCACTACTTAATCATTGATAGTACTTAATCATTACTTTTTCTATCTACTAATTTCAACGGATACAGTTTGTATCCTACTTTTGTAAAAATACTTTTGTTTTAATGAACAACGTATACCCCTTGTTTTTTCTCTATAAAAAAACTACTTAATCATTGCTAGTACTTAGAAACATTGTCCCTAGAGTATTATAGCTAGCTAGTCCAAAGTGGGGACTAGTGCATCCAGTCAAATTATGTAGGAAAAGTCAACTCCAAAACAAATTATTAAAAAAAAGACTACAGTAAGTAATTGTCATTTGTGGGCCATTTCCTTAGGGGACTACCCTATATAATGCATTCACGTACCCCCTCCATCCTCATCCACATCTCAAGAAGTTTGCGAAAATTCGGAAATTTGCAAAAGATTAAATACAATGAGTCTTGATCGAGTTCATGCTCTCTTTCTGACCTATGTTTTGCTCGTTGGGCTCCTTCAACCCTTTATGTGTGTTGATAATAGTGTATTGTAGTGGGTTTTAGTCCCACATTGCTTGGGAGAACAAACCTCACACTCCTCTACTTGTATAAATATATGTGCACACTCAATATTCAATTCAAGGGAAATTTACCCAAGATTCTCTCTCTCTCTCTTACTTTAACATGGTATCAGAGCTAGGGCTATTTCCCTTTCAATAAAATTTTTAACGCTTTTGCGTTCTTTTGCCAAATCTTGGCCTTATTGCTTTGCAGCCGTTTAATGTTTTATTTTTTTTATTTTTATTTTTAATTATTTGGCGTTCATCTGCCAGATATTTTGGCCTTGTCGTTTTGCGGCCTCTTAACGCGTTTCGCGTTCTCGTTTAACCTTCGGGTTCTATTTTAAACCTTCGGGTTTCATTCTAACCTTCGGGTTCTATTTTAACGGCATTGTCGTTTCAAGACCGTCTCTCGGTCTCAAATTAACGGCATCGTCGTTTCAAGCCGTCTCTCGGCCTCAAACGAACGACATTAGTAACAGCATCTCGACATCTTAACGTCTCAAGATTGCTGTTATGGCTCCTTCAGAGAAGATTCCCAAACCACCTTTGCCCCTCAATGATCAAAGTGACTGGGCAGGGTGGTCCACCATTGTCACCAATGCCTTGCGTGGCGCTGGTTTGCTTGATCATCTCACCAGTACGGGACCAGTTCCACCGTCCATCAGCACTGTTGCTTCATCCAGTACTATTGCCTCTGGCAGTGGTGATGTCGATCTTCAGACTGCTCGTGCTCTCTATGTCAAGGAGAGTTCAGAGTGGCAATTGCAGGAATTTCGTGTTATGGATTATCTCACTCGCTGTGTTGGCTCTGGTCTCACTGTCGAGATTGGCTCGCTTCCCTCTGCTCAGGCCATGTGGACTCGTCTCACTGAGCGTTTCACTGAGTGCTCGGGTGCACGGGAGGCATATCTTCTGCAACGCATTTCTCTACAACGCAAAGGTAGTTCATCTCTGCAGTCCCATTTTGGACAAATGCAAGCTTTTTGGACAGAGTTACGCTCCATGCTTCCTGGACGTAATTCCACATATGAAGACTGGCTAGCCTGGTACGAACGGCATGAGGTGCATCAATTGTTTCAGTCCCTTCCTGAATATTCAACTATGGCTGATCAACTACTTCACCAGCCTCAATTTCCGACTTTGGCCTCAGTTATGGGAGCTCTCACTGCTTATGAGACCCGGCAGCAGACAGCACGACTCAATTTGTCAACAGACACTCCTACCTCTTCACTCGAGACTGTTTTGTCTGTACCTGTCACTGCTCCTGTTATGAATTATACTTCTCCACAGGCTCCCTCTCCACAGGCTCGATCTAAGCTCTCTTGCAAATATTGTAAGAAGGAAGGACACCGCATTGAGACATGCTTCAAGCTTCATCCTGAGTTACGTTCCTCAGGTACTGGACGTGGTCGGCGACCCCCTCAGTCTCAACCCTCTCGTACACCAGGATTGTTGGCCAATGCTATACCTTCTACTACTTCAGACTCTACTATTCAAGCTATTGAAAGTCTTCGCCGTCAACTTGATGCTTTTCAACATATCACCTCTACATCCGCCGCACAACTCTCTGGTATGCATTTTGCTGGTTCTTCAGCTAATCCTTCAGTCTCTGGTATGAATGATCTCTGGATTTTTGACTCTGGTTGTTCCTTTCATATGACTTGTAATGCCTCACTTTTATCCTCTGTCTTTACTTCATCCTCTCTTCCTCCTATCTACACAGCTGCTGGACAACCATTGTCCATTACTCAGTATGGCTCTATTACCCCACAAAATGATCCATCTGGTCGTCTAACACTTGGTCCCGTCTATGTGGCTCCACAATTGTGCTTGAATTTAATTTCTATTAGCTCTTTATGCATGGCGGGCCTGTTTGTCTCATTTTCTTCTGATACTTGTATTGTGCAGGATCCACAGACGGGCAAGACGGTTGGGGCGGGTCGTAGGAGGCACAAACTGTATTTTCTGGAATATCTTCACCTTCCAGAGTCCATACGTCCACGTTCTCTTGTTGCTTCTCTTTGTTCGTCAAAACCCTCTACCTCGCTTCCTGCCAATTTATGGCATAGACGACTTGGTCATGTGTGTAATAAAAGGCTGGAGAGTCTTATTCAGTCTGGAGTACTTGGTCCTGTATCATCTAGTTCTAGTATTGAGTCATGTGCTGGTTGCAAATTGGCTAAATTCACTGCTTTACCATTTAAAATGAGTACATCTGTATCCAC